CTCTCTCTCTCCCTCTCTCTCTCTCTCTCTCTCTCTCTCTCTTTGATACATGGTCTTGCTATGCAAACTCGTAGTGATTCTCCTGTCTCTGCCTCCCCAGCACTGGGATTGTAGGCATGCACCACATCTGGTGTTGTGGCCGGACTGTATCCTAAGATACAGTTGTGTTCCCCTCCTCCCCCCAACAATGGAATTCAGTCTGTTTGGGTCAGTTTATGTCATGTGTCTGTCTGTTAACCTATAATAGTTACTGTTTCCTATGACATATTTCATAACAATAACAATAAAGCAAATGAGCAAAGCAAATAGATCACTTCCTGTTTCTGGTCAGGATTGTGTGTTGTCTAGTTACTTTTCCCTAACCTTCCAGACATTTTAATGGAGTAACATGAGAATCTTTCATCTCACTCTTGCCAGGAAAGGATGTAAGTTTCGGGGACAGTTTGGACAAACCTGCTGCTCAATAGATAATTTGTATTCGTTTATTTATCTCTTTTCTTTTGTATAGCATTTCCAGTTGTGAAACCAAGTATCAATTCCAAGCTAGAGCAAGGACCAGAATTCTGGGATATGAACTTTATAAATTCTATGAAAAGGAGCACTTCTGATTGCAGACTGGATAATGAACCAACAAAACCAGCTCAGGCATTAACCTTAAAGGGCTATAGAACCTGGGAAGAACAATACCCTTGGGACATGGAGGACATGAAAGTGTCAGGTGTTCACTGGGGCTATGAGGAGACCAAGACTTTCCTGGCAATCTTGAGCGAGTCTCCTTTCTCTGAAAAACTTCGGACTTGTCACCAAAACCGCCAGGTGTACCGGGCAATTGCTGAGCGGTTAAGGGCACGGGGCTTCCTGCGGACACTGGAACAGTGTCGCTACAGGGTCAAAAACCTCCTACGGAACTACCGAAAAGCCAAGAGCAGCCACCCACCAGGGACATGCCCCTTCTATGAGGAGCTGGAGGCCCTGGTGCGGGCTCGGACAGCCATCAGAGCCACAGGTGGCTCAGGAGAGGCTGTATCACTCCCCAGGCTGGGGGATAGTGATGCTGAGATGGATGAGCAGGAGGAAGGGGCCTGGGAGCCTGAGGAAACAACAGAAGACTATAATAGTGCTGGCCTGATTGCTGATGAATCTGCCCAGGGGCCCAGGATTGCAGGTGGCCCAGCTCTGCTCCAGAGTCGTATTGGTAAGAATATAGGTGTTTAACCAGGTACAGATTCCAGTCCTACCAGGCAGGCTGCTGGTACCTGAATTGATGCCACTAGACTAAAGTGTTAAGTTCCTCAGGTTATCTTTGAACTTGTATCTTTGTGACTAGGTCTCCTTGCTCAAGTTTTCTTACTTATAAAAACCAATATTTCTAAAGCCTTCAGGGACCTTTGAGGATGATCCTAGGTGTCATATGAGTGAACTTCTAATGCTTATGATTAGTTGGTTTTCTTAATGTGTCCAAGCACGTTTGCCTGTGACTTTACAGCAAATTTGGATAAAGACCATGAGTAAAACATTGAACAGATAAAACAGAAAATATGGTAGTAGAGACTTGAACAGTCAATGTGTGGCAAACATTGTAAGTTCATTGTAAGGTAGACTCTCTGGAGCCCAAGAAATGACACATCTTGTTCAAAGGTACATAGGTGGGAGGAGAATCCGTGGCTCATGCCTGTCAGTTGCATGTGGTTTTCCTGCCCCCTGGTACCTCCTTGAGTGGCACTCCTTAGCTGCAGAAGAACTGAGACTAGGTTGCCTCCTTTTTATTTAACTGTAAGAAGAAAAGTCATCCTTAGTTGTATTCTGATTACTTGAAATCTGTTCCTATCTTTGGTCTTTAGGGCTTTTTCAGCTTCCAAGGTTTGTTAAAGGAAAATTCATAAAGAAGATAGAAGATATGTATTGTTTGGATATAGGGAAATCATTGTGGATTCCAATTACTAGACAGCTCAAGCTAAGTGACTTGGGTCGCTTAGTAGGACTGACAAGTGTGGGTGTATAGGTCCTCCCCATTAGTAAGACATAAAGTATTAATAGAGTTCCTTACAGGGAGCAGGGCAGGCACGCTGGCTGGCTTTTCTGGTCCATCCTTGAAAAGGAAAGGCATGTCCCAGGGACTGGGGCAGTTTCCAGGATGCCTGTGTTCCAGGTGTTTAGAAGGACAGATGACCCTGATCTGTGATGACCTAAGCCAATCTTAAGGCTTATGCCTCTTCACTCTTCACTCCTGACAGCAGGTGTGCACTGGGGCTACGAGGAGACCAAGGCTTTCCTGACGATCCTCAGCGAGTCCCCCTTCTCGGAGAAGCTTCGTACCTGTCATCAGAACAGCCAGGTATATCGGGCCATTGCAGAGCGCCTGTGCGCGCTGGGTTTCCTGCGGACCCTGGAGCAGTGTCGCTACAGATTTAAAAATCTGCTTCGGAGCTACCGGAAAGCCAAGAGTAGCCGCCCTCCGGGGACATGCCCCTTCTATGAGGAGCTGGACTCACTCATGAGGGCACGGACTGCAGTCAGAGCCATGGCGACTGTCAGGGATGCAATAGGTCTTTCTAGTTCTGGGAAGAACTGTACTGAGGCAGATAACCATGAAGCCTGGCGTGAGATGGCAGATGAAGATGCCATCAGACCTCCAACCCTGAGTCCTAGAACTCCAGACACTGGTAAGCCGGGAGTCACAAAATGTCCACAAAATCCATAGACGTGTAAAAAGATAGGGGGCCAGTTTCAATGTATTTTAACTCTGGGCTAAAAGAGAATGGGAATGAATAGGAAAATTGTTTGTACTTTGCTCAGATTATTGTCTTTGGGTATATGTGGTCCCCCACATGAAATAGCCTAGCTTTTATTGGGAAACATCTGGGCTGTGAGGGAATTGATTCAATCTTGTATGACACAGAATCTGCTGAGTGTATTAGAAGAAAGAGGTAGTTATTATTTAATACTAACTGGCTGGGGAAACTGATTGGCTGACTGCTTGGACTGGGCCTCATGGCTCCTTTGGGGCTGCGATGTCCTAGACTGTGTTCCTGAGTTGCACAGGTTTAGTATCCACATTCAAGGTATCTGTACGGCTTCTCTCCGGTGTGGATTTTCTGATGTGTATTGAGGTTAGAGCGGTCACTAAAGCTTTTTCCACATTCAAGGCATGTATAAGGCTTCTCACCTGTGTGGATCCTCTGGTGGGCAATGATCCTCTGTGGGCTTCCACACAATACAGTTTGTATACCCCAAACTTGGTTAATTTTACATTAGTCACATTACACAAGATGTGAGATTTAAAATATAGATTCATTGTGGCCACATTCATAAGACACAGATACAAATAAATAAATGCTAACTAATGAATGAACTGTTTCTATTCATTCTTTTAGGTTTTGAACTGAGGCATAAGGATGAAGACCAGATTTCAGAGCAGGACATTTTTGGTGATTTACCTGGAGTCTTATCAAAATATACTACAGAGGCTGTTTACTCCCCTCATGATTGGGGAGAAGACAGTGAATATGAAAATGATGGTGAAGGAGTATGGGATAATCCTCCACAAGAACAGTGGGAAGAATGTTCTTCTGAGGAGGATTTAGAAAAACTTATTGATCATCAAGGCCTGTACCTTGCAGAGAAACCCTACAAGTGTGATACATGTGTGAAAAGCTTCAGTAGGAACTCCCACTTCATTGCCCACCAGAGGATCCACACAGGTGAGAAGCCTTATACATGCCTTGAATGTGGAAAAAGCTTTAGTGACCGCTCTAACCTCAATACGCATCAGAGAATCCACACTGGAGAGAAGCCGTACAGATGCCTTGAATGTGGAAAAAGCTTTAGTGATCACTCCAATCTTATTACCCACCAGAGAATCCACACAGGGGAAAAGCCCTATAAATGTAGGGAATGTTGGAAAAGCTTCAACCAGAGCTCAAACCTTTTGAAACATCAGAAAGTCCACTTGGGAGAAAGTTCTGACCAGTGTAGTGAGACTGGAGAGAGCATTGATCAAAGTCCATCTGTTAGTGCTCACTGGAGGGGTACCACAGATAATTCAGCTGAGCCATCTTGTAGTGTTGAGACGAACTTGAGTTCTGCACCCCACAGTACCAACTCAGGGGAGAAGTTGTATCGATGTTCTGAATGTGGAAGATGCTTCTCAAAGAGCTCCGCCCTTATTAGTCACCAAAGAATCCACACAGGAGAGAAACCTTATGAGTGTGCTGAATGTGGGAAAAGCTTCAGTAAGAGTTCTACCCTGGCCAACCACCAGCGAACCCACACCGGGGAAAAGCCATACAAGTGTGTGGACTGTGGAAAATGCTTCAGTGAGCGTTCAAAGCTCATCACCCATCAGAGAGTACACACAGGAGAAAAGCCCTACAAGTGCCCGGAGTGTGGAAAGTTTTTCCGGGATCGCTCTAACCTCATCACTCATCAGAGGATTCACACAGGAGAGAAGCCCTATAAGTGCAGAGAGTGTGGAAAATGCTTTAACCAGAGCTCCAGTCTTATTATTCATCAGAGAATCCACACTGGGGAGAAACCCTACAAATGCACAGAGTGTGGCAAAGACTTCAACAACAGCTCCCACTTCAGTGCCCATCGGAGAACCCATGCAGGTGGCAAAGCATTGTAGAAGAAACAGCCCTCTACAACAGAAGAGTGACACATGTATATTTATATCTCCTAAGATCATAAGACTTAAACTAGCAAAAAATTTTCAGTTTTAAGCTTGGTGTATACCCAGAGAAGTTTTGGTAAAATCCAGGTAATTTGAAAGTGAATTACAGATAATAAGGATCCAGATTTGAAGGCACTTTGTTTCTCAAATGGAGTTTTTTTTTTTTTTTTTCCTATTAAAATCCTCCAAACATTCCTCAGGTTATCTTTATATCTGCTAGTGCATAAAAGCTTTATGAGTATTTGAGCTAGACTGGTGACTTAGGGGATTAGAGTTAAATCAGTGGCCTGCAGCAGTGATTGCAGACCCTGCTGTGCCTTCGCACTGCCAATGTGTGCAAACCCCCTCTCTGCCATCCCTCATACATGGCACTTTGCAGTCTGGGCATATCCTCACAGTGGAACTTTGAGACTGGTGAGAGGGAGTGGCCAAGAATAGTCCACCATGAGCTTAGCAATGAGTAGGAACAACAGTGACATCATAAAATCATTATTAATAATAGCAAAAAGACCCAGTAGTTATTGAGCATTAGCTTTTTGGCAGGCTATGTGATAAGCACTTTATATGTATTATCTCATTTAATCCTGGTGATAGCCCCAGGAGATAACTATCAATTTCCTACTCATTTCCTGAGAGAAAACTGAGGCTTGAAGAAGTTAAGTTACTTGTATCAGCCATACATCTGAAAATGAGCAAGGCAGAATTCAGCCAGATCCATGTTTCCTGTGTCTGAGATGCTTTAGTGTCCCACTGAATTCCCTTTCAGTGTAGGGCAAGTAACTCAGTTGCCAAGATCTCAAAATGTGTCACTCAATAAATTATCCTTTTGTCTAAGATAGAAGCCAAGAACCCCTAATGGTGAAAGGAATTTGTATGTTCAGAATTGGTGGTTGTATTTTGAATGAGGCTGACTTATTATTATCAAAGTGCTGGATGTGAGTTTCCCTTTTTGTAGTAATATGGCTGAGAGATGTAGGTGGGTTGAGAGTGGGAAAAATGTGTAGCCAAAGTGATGTGTCTTCCAATAAATAGTGCTTTGGCTATGGAAGTGGGGCTTAAGAGTTTCTTTTGCCATACATCATTCCTGCTTCTCATTACACTGGGTTCCCCTCCAGGGCTTATTCATCCCTGTGTTTCTGCCCTTCTGGGTCCTTTTCCTTGTTCCTGATCCCAATACCAAGACTGGGGAGAAATGTTATTATGTAGTTCTTGAGAGAGATTTGAATACAATTCCACACTCTAGGTTCATGATGCCTTTTTATCATGAGCCCTCTTGTTCCCAGGCTGACCCGGTGCTGCCCATTGGGATTGGCTTCACACACACAAGAAGCCTCCAGGATTGCTCTTGAGAGAGGTTTAAAAATGGCAGCCTGAGATTTTGGTTTTCATGGGATTTTAAAAGAAAATCCCTTTCTCAACACCCATCTATGACATTTGGATGACATTTATATCCTGTTTATATAATGGTCGTGGGTGGTACCTAGCAAATAATGGAGGTGTTGGAACCTTGAATACAGGGACTTTATATTCAAACATGAGGGTGTAGGTAGATTTTTTCTACTCCCATAGAATGAGGTCATTCCTTAATCTCGTCCCCTGCTCTAGAAACTCCTTCCCAAGAATCAGCCTCCTTGGGGTCACTGTCAATCTTGTCCCAGTTTAATTTCCTGACTCATTTTGTCTGATGGGTAGGGGCCATGGGATGAGTACTACTGAAACCAGCAGGTGTCAATGAGTGCAATAAGATAATATATAGAGTACTATGAGGACCAACAGGAAGGATCCCAAAGGAGAAAGGGAACCAGAGAAGAACACTTACGTGAAATAGCATGGATTTGGCTAGGGTTGGAAACCATCAGAAGTGTGTGAGCATATAGTGGGGTTGAGTTTGAGATTGGATGGGGCCTAGGACTGAGTCAGGTAGAAGTGGAACTTGGGTTAATGCTCAGGGAAACATGTTGAAACATGTACTGTGAAAATCTAACAGCTAGTTGGAACTTGGGTACACTGCAGTTAGAGCCACTGATGGACACTGATATTCCAGATAAAAGGTAAGAATTGAACTAGAGCAGTGGCCACACTTCAGAGGAGGAAATGTAGTTGCAGTGTTTCAGAGTCAGACTCCACAGCAAGGAAAGCCTGGGGTGACTGGGTAGAGCATGTGTCATTCAGAATTGGGGACATATGGAAGGATCACAGATGGTACAGGGGGCAGAATATTGTAAGTTTACTTTGAGATATTTTGAACTTGAGGCACTTATTAGACATCTGTGCATTTATGTATCTGGGCATGAAGTTGGAGAAGTTGGGCCTAAAGATTTATCTAGTCCACATGGTAGGTATTGAGGAAGGGCAATGCCAAAGAAGTATTGGCCTAAGAACTAGAGAAGCACCAACATGTGGCGGAATATGCCCCTCAAAGGAAATCTGGACCACTACCCAATCTCACTCCTAGCATCCTTTGGTTCTTGCCTCCCTTGTGGCTGATCCCTGAATTCTTAGAGCAGTCCTTAGTTTTTGGAGCCTTCACCATGGGAGCCAACCTGAGCTAACTGCAAGTGAGATGTTAGCCTCTCGCTACTGTCACTTTCCCCCTGTTCTTGTGACTGATGACATCTCCTATTTCAGTGGACAGTTCAGCTCCTTTTTATCTATCACTCCTCAAAAATCTTAATGTAGATTAAATCTTAATGCAGCCATGAAAGCAAGGGCAACATAAACTAGGAGCAAACTGGATGCCAGTTTTTCTCCTGGACTTTTCTTCTGGGAGCAGCACTCTGCAAGGTGACACCCTTGCCACCTTGCTGGGGCCCCTAGGAATCCTCCCATAGGTCTTTGCCACTTGAATAAACTGACATCTAGTTTTGCACACCCTCTTCTTGGCAAGTAGGTTCAGTCTTCAGAATGATGGGTAGATCCTCAGGCCATGTGGCCATGGGTCAGACCCTGATTATGGAAAATGGAAGCAGCACAGGCTACTCGGGTGGGAGGTGGTGGTTTTATTGTATTTTATTTTAAAGAGAAATGAACAAAATAACAAAAAACAAAAACAAAAATGATACAGCATTTTAAAACAAGATGATAGGAAATTAACTATGGTTGCTGCATTATATATTGTTAGATTCAAAGTAGTTGCTTGGATTACCAGATACAGGCAAGCAAGATTGACCAAAGAATTGTTAACTTCCTTTCGATAAATAAAGAGAAATTAGTAGTACAATTAATCTTAGCAGTATATATATATTCCCCCCTTTCCTTTCTTCTTTCCCTCATCCTGCTTGTTCTTTCCTTTTGAGCAGTTATTTTCCCTTTCACAGTATCTATTTTACTTTTCAGATTTTATTTAATCTCTCAGGTTTTTACTCTAGGGTGACAATATGATGTTTACACATGTGGGCCTGATCTATTTCACTTGTGAGTATGGTCTCTAGTTGCATCCATTTACCTATAAAATGCGAAATGGTGTTCTGTGTGTGCTGTTAAAGGTGGGATCATCTTCCCGGCAGCCACTTTTCCTTCAGTACCCTCCATCCTGTGTGGTAACCAAGAGGCCCCCTCTTTTCACATACTTGTCGGGAAGCAGCAGACCCAAAGGTAGGGACAGGGAAGTGTGGGCCAAGGCTGCTTGCCTGTTTTTTTGGACTTGGGTCTCAACACTCATGATGGTGGCTGCTGCCTGCCTGTCTCTTTACATCTGTTCTCCCTGAACAGTAAAGCAATGATCTCTGTCTTCACTGCTGAAAATACAGCCAGATTTTCTTCCTCCCTGCCTTCTTATGTTCTGGGCCCCAGTGGGGATAGCTCTGTGCCTATAGGCTGGAGAGAAGAGTTTGAATTTCATTGCTTTGTGGAGTGGAATACCCCCTACTTGGTGTGGGGATGCATCTGAAGTTACCAGTGCAGTGTGTGTGACAGGTGCCCTTTGTCTTTTTGCTTCTGACTGCTGTCCAAGGTGTGCCTTGCTGTTTTGTTTTTTAACTGCTGTGTAGGTATGGAGATCCGTCTCCCACTCAGGCCTCTCAGGTGCCCAGCTGCCACTCTGCAGCCATCTTCTGCCTCTTCACCCAAAATTCGGCTTGTGCATTTATGTGCACAGTGGCTCACACACAAGCCTCCTTCACACATTTCCAGCCTCCTTACACACTTCTTATGCACACAAGTCTCACTTCAGACTCAGGGTTCCCTCTGGCTTGGGCCCACCGACACACATTTTCCCTTTGAGGGCATTTGCCACTGAGCACTGGAGACAGTATCTAAAGCCAAAATGAATCTGGTGGAATATCTGCTCATCTCAGGTCGGATCCCATTCTCCCTTGCTCCTTAGCCATTCTTAAATCCCTTCCCCAGTTTGCTAAGTAGTCAGTGCTGCCTGTAGGGAGATGGGGCAGGCTCTGCAGAAGAGCTGGGATTGGTACAGAGCCCCAGAGCTGGGGATGATAGACTTTTCCCTCCTTCAGCCCATGGCTGTCTCATTATACCCCATCTTGTTATATCAGCATTGCTGTTAGTATGTCTGTAGCATCATTTTTGGCCTCAGTGATTTTGGCCAACTGTGATACCTCCAGGAATGTTTCAAATGGGAGAAGATATGCCCCTTCCTTGCTTCATTGTTCTTTCCTGCAGCTAGTAGATGACCTCTACTCCTTTTGCCCCTGAGTCGTATCTCTCAGCTGGTCCCTGTCAAAACCCCATCTAAAGAAGGAAGTCAGAATCTTGAGAGGCCCTGGTTCCTTTTGGTGTATGGCCAGCTCTCCTATCCTCAAAGCTGACTGCATCTTTAGGAGCCATTTGATGAAGCCAAGAGCATAATAACAGTGAAGGCACACAGGCTCCAGTAAATGATTTTAGCTATACACACTGAATAAGTGGGTGAGGGATTCACACTGATATTAATGCCCCATCCAGGATACTGTTTGATTATCTTTGAATGTAATGAGGATTCTGATCATGTTTGCCATTATACAACAATACTTATTTCTATAGTTAGATTTATTGTTCCCATTTTCATTATAGGAAAGTACCTCAGTATTGTGCCACCCAGAGGGTGGAGGCAACAGAAAGGGAGATTAGGAAAACAAGTCTCTAAAATGGCCTTGGAGTGGCATTAAGGGCTAGTCTGAGTCCAAGAGGGAGAGGAGCTTCAGGGTAAAATCTTGAGTCATGGGGGCTGTCTCAGTTACCCTTCTCTCATCACTGGGACAAATATCTGACACCCAAAATGAAGGAAGGAAAGGTTTACTTAGCTCATAGTCACTGGAGATTTCAGTCCATACTCAACTGGCTCTAAGGCAGAGTGGCACATGGCAGAGAGCAACTTTTCACAGAGGTGGCAAAGAGCAGAGAGCAAAAGGGAGTGGCAGCAGCTCAGGCAGCTAGCTCATCTCTCTCCCCCCCTTACATTGTAATGCAAATTACCTGCCCCAGGGCCCGAGCAGTGTTCACACCCACAATAATCAATCACAATCCCCAGAAGCAAAGCTGCCCCATGAGTGCATGAGACTTTGGGGCATGAGACACCTGTACACAAACCATAACAGGAGCTCAAGAAGCCTAACTTTGGCCTCACAGAGGGGAAGCAGGCTTCTGTCTTCCGCCTTGAGCACTGCTACTCTAGCGTCCCTTCTGCCTGTTTGGAGGCAGCGAGAGCAGCAGGAAGTCTAAAGGAAACACCCTGGCACTGGGAGTGAGAAGCTTTTTATAAAGCCCGAGGTTCCATGGCAGGAGAAGACTCCTATGGGGACAGCATCTGTTCAGCATCACACTTGAGGCCCCCCAAAAATGTCAACTTCACAGTTTTCCAGAAATAGTTGGGAGATTTGAGGCTTGCTAGGCTAAGTTCATGCTCAACCCTTCTGGTGTCTTGGGAAACAGAAAACACATACTCTGTCCATGGACACTTCTTGGTGAACTAATTTCTTATGGAAACTAAACATTTGTGGTTGATTTTAGTTCTCTTTAATTTTGGCAGATTAAAGTAAAATTAAAACGAATTACTGTCTGGCACTCAGGAGGCTC